TTGTTAATTTTAATTTGAATTCTTTTAAAAAATGTGTCATTGTTAAATTGGGTTTGGGGATATCCTATTTAATTTCTTTTTAACTTTTGTAGTATGTGTTTCTTTTAATGTTGTACGCCGCCCTGAGTCCTTGGGAGAAGGGCAGCATATAAATCGAATAAACCTCAAACCTCAAACCTAAATGAGGAGAGGGTGCTGCATATCATCCGAGTGGGCTAAAATTGTTTTGTTTCTCAGAATGATACAAAACATTGCACGAAATGAAGTTTAGATGATGAAAACACAGCAGTAGAGATTATAGGTTAGTATGCCTGCAGACAGAAGAATGACAGGTATCTGTAGATTATCTTGATATGGACCTTACATAAATTCTATTCTACTGCTATAGTCTATAGCCTGTAGTAAAATTGCTTATTCTTAAACAGAAGAATCTGGATATACCTATTTTCTTGACAGTTAATAAGATGATAATGTGAAAGTTTTACATTAATGTTCTTTGAAAGTCCAGGAAATTGTATCCTTAGTTTCATTTCTAAGTTATTCCAGTCAACATCTCCCTGGGAGCAATGCTTGTTTTCTAGAAAAAGAAATGTTGAGATTCAATTTTTTTGAATAATGTCACTCTACCAGTCTGAAATCATTGTTCTTTTCCCCCCTTTTGCAGCTGTCCATCTACTTCAAATAATGTCCAGTTAATGTCCATCTACTAAATAACGTCCAATTCGAGCATGAATTTTCTTTTCTTCCTAATGTTGGCCAGCAAATACAGTGTCAATTTTTTTATAGAATCAACCAAGTGTTTGATCTATTGGGCACAAAACTGAAAAATAGTTTGTTCTGGTGTTTAAGGTATCACATTAGAAACTAAGAGACTGTAAGTTCTAGCTGTGCATTAGGCATGAAAGCTGGCTGGGTGATTTTATGCCAGTCACTTTCTCTTGCCCCATGATGTCAGGTTTGGTTCATAAGATGGTCCAACATGAGTACTGGCAATCAAATGGATGCAAGGAACTTGCACAAATTAAATGTTGCCTGAAACTATCTATCTATATCTATCTATCTATCTATCTATCTATCTATCTATCTATCTATCTATCTATCTATCTATCTATCTATCTATCTATCATCTATCTNGAGGAGGAGGAGGCTTGGAGGCCAGGTCTGGGGAGGGGCAGAAGACCACAGCCCAGTGGGGAGCCTCCTGCAGCCCCCTTCGCTAAGGGCTCCGTTGAGGGTCACTTGCTCAGCAAAGGGGCCGTCTGGGAGGGGTCCAGAGCCCCTG